AGGACTGCCCTTGCTGGCCTCAGATGGGTTTGGGCTGAAAGGAGAGGATATCAGAAAGATGCTTACTTGTATTTTATTGACTATGCAAAGGCATCTAATGGTCTGCATCATAATAGACTTTGGATAACATTCAAAAGAATAGGAAGTCCAGAAGAATAATTTATGCTCCCGGAGGACTTGTACATGGAATGAGAGACTGTTATTTGAATAAAAAAGGAACCACTGCATGGTTCAAAATCAAGAAAGGTGCGCATCAGATCTGTATCCTTTCACCATCCTTAGTTGATATGCCTTGTTGTTGTTGGTAGGGGCCATTAAGTCTCTGACCCACAGTGACCCAACCCATGTACAACAGAACGAAACACGGCACCATCAGTCAATCTGTATTCTGAACAAATAAGCCAAGGAGCAGGACTAGGTGAAGAAGAATGCGATATTGGGATTGGGGGAAGTCTTACAAACAATCTGTGGTATGTATCCGACACAACCTTGCTTGTTGGTAGCAGAGAAGACTGGAGGCACTTGCTAATGAAAATCAAAGATGGAAGCCTTCAGTGTGGATTGCAATTCAATGTAAAGGAGGCAGTAATCCTCCCAATGATGCTAACAGATAACGTCACACTAAATGAAGAACTACTGATGTTGCCCAGGACTTCGTTCTTCTTGGATCCACCGTCAGCATTCATTGAAGCAGTACTCAGGAGACGATATGGACAAAGCAAAAGGGAAAACGCACGAGATTCCATCGGCCAATGCAGAAAAGGCCTCGGCAATCATCAACACCAACAGCCAGCAGAGCAGGAATAGAAGGGAAACTTCCCAACACCATAAAGCCCATGCATGCAAAGCCAAATGGCTAACACCTGGCTCAAGGGGGAAGAACGGAAAACATTTCCCCCGAAAAACCAGACAAAGATACCGCTTATCTCCACTCGTTTTCAACACTGTGTTGGAAGTCCTAGCCAGAGCCAGTAGACGACAAAAAGAAACCAAAGGAATCCAAGTGGGCAAAGAAGAATTGGAACGCTCCCTGTGCACAGGTGATTTGATTCTGTACGTAGAAAATCCAAAGACCCAATAAAAATTCTTGGGAACACTGGAGAGATTTGGCAATGTGTCAGGATACATGATTAACTCACAAAAAGCATTCTGATTCTTGTAAACTCATGAAGAGATCACGGAAAACAAATAAAGAACACAATGCCATTTATAAGAGCCACATTTAGAAATAAACTTAACCTGAGAAACAAAAGACTTGCACAAGGAAAACTGCAGTACACTACTACAAGAAACCAAAAGAGACTTACACAATGGAAGAATAGTCTATGTTCATAGATGTTGTTGTTATGAGCCTTTGAGCGGACCCATAATGGCATGATGCACAAAAGAATGATGCATGGCTTGGTCCTACGCTGTCCTCACAATTGTTCTTTTGCCTGAGCTCATTGGGGCAACCTGTGTCAATACATCTCGTTAAAGACCTTCTTGTTTTCAGGGCCCCTCAACTTTATGAAGCATGATGTCCTCCCCCAGGGACTGGACTCCCCTGACAACATGTCCTAAGTATGTAAGACAAAGTGTCACCCTCCTTGCCTCTAAGGAGTACTCTGACTGTCCTTCCAAGACAGATCTGTGAGGCCTTTTGGCAGTCCACGGCATTTTCAATATCCTTTGCCAGCATCACAATCAGTTGCATCGAGTCTTCCGTCTTCCTTATTCAATGTCCAACTTTCACATGCATCCGAGGCAATTGAAAAATTGGGTCAGGTACACCTTAGTCCTCAAAGCAAACCTCTTTGCTTTTCAATACTCGAAAGAGATCCTGTGCAGCAGATTTACCTAACGCAACATGTCTTCTGATCTCTTGACTGCTTCTTCCATGAGCACTGATTGTGGATCCAAGAAAGACAAAATCCTTGACAACTTCAATCTTTTCTCTGCTCATAGATAGGAAGACTTAACATGGTGAAAATGTCAAAAATACCCAAAGCAATCTATAAATACAACACCAATCTAATCCAGATTCCAACCCCATTTTTTAACGAAGTGGAAAAACGAATGACTAACTTTGTATGGAGAGGGAGGAGACCCAGAATAAGCAATGAACTTATTAAGAGGAAGAAAATATAAGAAATTCCTCACTTCCCAACCTCAGAAAATGATTACACAGTCCCAGTAGTTAAACCAGCATGATACTAGTACAATGATAGCTGTGTAGACCAATGGAGCCGGGCAGAGAGCGATCCCAGAAGCAAACTCATGCACAGTCAGACACTGACCCTTGATGAAGTGCTAAAAAACACATAGAATGGGAAAGCGATAGTCTCTTCAACAAATGGTGCCGGCAAAATTGGACCTCCATCTTGAGAAGATCGAAACAGGGCTGACAACTCACCCCGTGTACAAAAACGAACTCAAGATAGATCAAAGACCTGAATGTAAACCTCAGAGCTACAAAGATCATCAATGAGAAAACCGGGCTCTATTAAGGACCCTTACTCCAGGTGTTCCTGTTTAAGCAGCTTTGGTGGGCAGGGTGACGGGGGCTGTTTCCAGAGAAATAAAGTGTAGCCTGGCTTCAAGTGCTTCAGACACCTCCGACCATGGGCACCTGTCACACTCTTGTCTCCCCACCCGCCTCTGACCATGGGCACCTCTCATCCGCAATTGCCTCATCTGTGCACCAGCAGGGCAGAGACTAAGAAGACGGAAGGAGGCTTAGTGCATATATGCTATGGCACTAGAGGAACATCTTGAAAGTACTGTGGACGGCTAGAGCAAACAGATTTCTCTGGGAAGAGAAGTTAGGATGGCAGGACTTCATCTCAGGTACTTTGGACATATTCCTAGGAAAGACCAGTCCCTGGAAAAGGATAGTATGCCCTTTTCCCAAAGTAGAGGGTCAGCAAAACAGAGGAAGACCTTGAGGTAGAGGCATTGACGTGGTGGCTACAACAATGGGCTGGCCTGGAGCAAGGACCGAGAAGAAGGCAAAGGGCCAGCAGTGTTTCCTTCCGTCGCACGTGGTGTCCCTGTGATTTAGAACCGACCGGCCACCGTGTAGCAATAACTACAAGAAGCTGGCACAGTGGCACTGGGTGTAAAGCACCGGGTGACTCTCTGGACTGTCTGCAATTCTGGACTTCCAGCCACTCCACGGGAGAAGGATACAGTAGCGAGCTTCCATAAAGACAGACTGCATCAGAAAGCCAACAGAGCAGCTGATAGGGCAGTGGTTCTCAACCTTCCTAATGCCTCGACCCTTAACACAGTTCCTCATGCTTGGTGACCTCCAACCATAACACTCTTTTCGTTGCTACTACATAACTGTAATTTTGCTACTGTTATGAATCGTCATGTAAATATCTGATATGCAGGATGTATGAGGTGACCCCTGTGGAAAGGTTGTTTGACCCCTAAAGGGGTCTCAACCCACAGGTTGAGAACCTCTGTGCTAAAGGTTGGGGTTTGGGTGGGAAGGACATGAATCCTCAGGAGAAAACAAGTACTCTTAGCTCTTGTTGCCATGGTTGCTGGCTGTCGTACCCTGACCAGGGCAGCCCATGTCCCGTGGGAGCCCGGGGCTCTTACTGGCCGCTTTTCCATGTAACCAAGCCTTTCTTGCGAGTTGATCTTCATCTTATTCTGGCCCTGTCCAGGCCGGGTTTGAAACACTGGTAGCATAGCTTCTCACAGTCCTACAGATTGACCGGATGGGGTGGGGGTGCTGCTTTTATGTCAGTTCTCATATTTCCTGGTGAGTAGGGTTGGGGGACAGATGTGATAACACAAGTCGGGGCCTTGGAACTGTGCCCCTGTGTGTCACAAGTGCACGCACACTTGGGTCTCTCAGCAGGCAGGATGGCTGCCGGGAGGGGGCATGTGTTTGTCAAGGGGCCAAGGTGTCCAGGTTCACCTTTTCTCAGGTGAGTTTGCTGGGGAACGAGAGGTCCCCCAGGGTTCGAGGTGCATGGGGAGACCAGGGGTATGAGAGATACCATGGTCAGAGGCAGGTGGGGAGACCTGGGGTACAAGAGATGCACAAGGTCAGGGGCAGATGGGGAGGCCTGGGGTATGAGAGATGCCCATGGTCAGAGGCAGGTGGGGAGGCCTGGGGTATGAGAGATGCCCATGGTCAGAGGCAGGTGGGGAGGCCTGGGGTATGAGAGGTGCCCATGGTCAGAGGCAGGTGGGGAGATCTGGGGTATGAGAGGTGTCCATGGTCAGAGGCTGGTGGGGAGACCTGGGGTATGAGAGATGCCCATGGCCAGAGGCAGGTGGGGAGACCTGGGGTACAAGATGTGCCCATGGTCAGAGGCAGGTAGGGAGATCTGGGGTATGAGAGGTGCCCATGGCCAGAGGCAGGTGGGGAGGCCTGGGGTATGAGAGGTGTCCATGGCCAGAGGCAGGTGGGGGAACCTGGGGCATGAGAGATACCATGGTCAGAGGCAGGTGGGGAGACCTGGGGTATGAGAGATACCATGGTCAGAGGCAGGTAGGGAGATCTGCGGTATGAGAGGTGCCCATGGTCAGAGGCAGGTAGGGAGATCTGCGGTATGAGAGGTGTCCATGGCCAGAGGCAGGTGGGGGAACCTGGGGCATGAGAGATACCATGGTCAGAGGCAGGTAGGGAGACCTGGGGTATGAGAGGTGCCCATGGTCAGAGGCTGGTGGGGAGACCTGGGGTATGAGAGGTGCCCATGGCCAGAGGCTGGTGGGGAGACGGGTGTGACAGATACCCGTGGTGGGAGGTGTCTGAAGCACTTGAAGCCAGGCCACACTTTATTTCTCTGGAAACAACGGCCCCTGGCCCCCAAAGCTGCTTAAACAGGGACACATGGAGGCCCTGGGACCCTGGTAACACTTGGGGAGCTGCGAGAGCGCATCATCTGACCTCCACCTGTGTAGGACAGCCCCAGAGCGAGGGGCAGGAAGCAGACGCAGACAGGGACTTAAAGCAGGGTGACTTTATTGATTGCTACAGCGACAGGGGCAGGGCCTCAGTTGGCAGCCATGGTCTCCTGGATCCAGTCCACGAAGTTGCAGACTTTGGTGTAGACCCCGGGCCTGTCCTTCTGCGCGCAGCCGTAGCCCCAGGACACCACGCCCTGCAGCTCCCCGTTGCAGACCACGGGGCCGCCGGAGTCACCCTGGGGGAGAGGCCGAGTGTTCAGGGGGTGGGGTGGGGTCGCGGCACCCAGGTTGAGTCTGCGTGGGGCCGGGGTGGGGGCGGGGCTCCCAGTGTGACTGTCCACAGGGTCCATCGTCTGATGGTGCACCCGGGGCAGGGCCCACAGTCTGATGGCCCAGGAGTGGGGCCGGCACCCAGCCTTGAGCCCCCGCCACCCCGGGCTGTGCGGCGGGGTGCTCCTGGCGCTCTCTCACCTGGCAGGAGTCCTTGCCGCCCTCCAGGAAGCCGGCACAGACCATGCTGTCAGTGATCTCACCGGGGTAGGAAGCCTCGCACTCATCGTGGCTCAGCAGGGGGGCATCCAGGCACTGCAGCAGCTCGGGGTAGTTCACTGTGGGGGGTGCGCAGAGGGGAGACCGGGGCGTCAGGGCTGTGCGCGAGGTGAGGGCAGACGCCGTCCCAGAGCCCACCCGACCCGGTGGCCCCGGGACACCTCGCATCCACACGGGGAGCCTGTAGCCCCCAGTGCCCAGCGCCAGGCATCCTGTAGGTGGGGGACCGCGCACGTGGTGGGGCCCCACTCACCGCCGGAGCTGAGGGTGTTGCCCCAGCCAGAGATGAGGCACATGGTGCCGGCGGGCGCGCAGGCTGAGGGCAGGGCCACAGCGGCCACCCGGGCGTTGATGGTGGCCTTGGAGGACAGCTTGATCAGCATGATGTCATTGTCCAGGGTCCAACTGCTGTAGCGAGGGTGGCGGATGACCTTGACCGAGTCGATGAACTGCTCATCACCTTCCAGGACATCGATGTTGTGCTCACCCAGCCTCACCTGGATGCGGCTGCCACGGAAGGAGACCTCGGTGAGGCAGCTTCCCAGGGCCCCAGCTTTGCCAGGGGCCCTAGGCAGCACAGAATGGCCAGGGCTTGTCCGATCCAGGCAGGGGTGATGGGGGGAAGGGGGCAGTGGTGGGCAGCAGTGAAGGCCTCTAGGTAGGACATGTTCCTCACCTCTCCCTCCAGCGCCTGTCCCACGGCCCCGTTCCCCCCTTCAGCTCACTTGGCCCTCAGGCCCTACGGAGGCAGCAGGCTTCACTCTGGGGGACAGAGGCTCCCCAAGCCCATGGGAAAAGGGACCGGCGAGAGAAGGTGCTTTCCCACAAAGGTGCTGATGTCCTCTGGTGGGTGTCTGTGTCCATTCCGACGCTCATGACCCCATGTGTGTGTGGAGTGGACGCGCCCCTCAGCGTTGGGGGACTGTGATCTTTCGGAAGCGGGTCTCCAAGTCCTGACTTCTGAGGTATCTCTGGGCGGATTCAAACCTCCAACCTTATGACCAGTTGTCTCTCCAGTGCGTGGCCCTCCCACCAGTCAGGGAGTCCTGCAGCAGTGACTGGGGACATGGAGGGAATGCAGCCCCCTGGACACCCATGGCTTAGGGCTTGGAGATTGGGGGCCAAGGGTGTGCATAGTCTGAGTCTTCCTGCACCCCCAGGGGATTCTGACATCACGGGAGTCTGAGCCCCACAGCCGGACCAGCCAGGGTGAGCGTGAAGCCACCCACAGTCAGGCTCTGCTTCTGCAACGTTCTGAAGTGGTTGCTTGCGAGGGAACAGGCATCGGATTTTCAGACGCTGCTGAGATGGTTCTGTGTAGCCACTGGGCAGGTCCTCCCCTGCACTGGCCACGCCCAGAAAGAACCCTGCCCTGGGGTGGGGTCGTGGGGACATGCTGGGCTGCTGACCACAGAATCAACAGGCTCAGCATCAACTCAGGGGCAGGGAGTTTTGTTTGGGTTTATGCCGGCATAACGGTTACGTGTTGGGCAGCTGTTAACTACAAGGTCAGCAGTTCGAAACCACCAGTTTGTGGGAGAAAGGTGCAGCTGTCTACTCCTGTCAAGAGTTTCTGTGTCAGAAACTCACAGGGGCAGTTCTACCCTGTCCTACAGGGTTACTATGAGCTGCAACCGATTTGAAGATGGGGAGGTTTTTTGGTTGATATGGTTAAGGTCCAGGGGCCCTGGTGGTGCAGCAGGCTAAGCACTGGGCTGCTAAAAGCAAGGCCAGCAGTTCAGAGCCACCAGGAGCTGCTCAGGAGATGGGCGAGGTGCTCCCCTCAAGATTCCGCTTGGAAACCTGAGGAGGCTGCTCCACTCTGCCCAAGAGGGTCGTCGGGAGGCAAAGGGCTTTGGTCCTGACAGGGTCTTGGTACTGACTCTGGGCCCTTTCACATCCTGGGGTCCCGTGGGTTCTGGTGGAGCATGTCCCTGCCCACCATCCTTCCCACGCTGGACACTTACGACTTGTAGCAGTGAGCCGCGGACACCACCCACTGGTCATTGATGAGGGAGCCGCCGCAGAAGTGGTAGCCGGCGTTGAGGGACACCTGGTAGGGCACGGATTTCTCCCTGCACGTGTAGCCTCCGACGATCTTGTCGTCATCGTCATTGCTTGTGGGGAAAGCAACTTTGGAGGAGAGAGAGAGAGAGAGGTGTCAGGGGGATGCAGAGCCCAAGCCAGTGGCGAAGCAGACCACTGGGGATCCGGAGCAGCACAGAGAAGTGGGGAGGGAGGGGACATTGCAAGTCTGCATTCCAATGAGCCCCTGGGTCGCTGTGGTCAGTAGGGACCCAGACCTTGACTTCCTCCCAAAGAAACCCCAGGCCTGCTGGCCATGGCCCCAGCCACAAGGTGAGCTCACACCTCCCCTGGCATACTCTCCTGGCTCCAGGACCACCCAGAAAGCCTCCTGGCCTGGTGGTCCCTGCTGTGGCTAAGGCTGGGATTTGGGCAGGATGGTCACTGGCCCCCAGGTCCATCTGGTAGCACAAGGGTGGTCATGCAACCAGTTAGTAAACAGGGATTGCCAGCCAGGGAATCCCCGTGTCCCTGGGAATTCTCAAGTTCCCTGGAAGATTAAAACCCTCTGCCCAGCTCACACCAAGCAAATCAAGTCAGAGAATCCAGGGCAGGAGCTGGGAATCCATATTTTGCACCCCACCCCTTCACTAAGCCCTCATAGCTATTTCCACTGTGCCACCAGGACTAAAGGAGTCCTGGTGGTGTCAGGATTACATATTGGGCTGAGACACACACAGTTGGTAGTTCGAAACCACCAGTTCGAAAGCTCCTAGGGAGA